GTGTGTGTGTGTGTGTGTGTGTGTGTGTGTGTGTGTGTGAGTGGGGGCGTAGTATTAAACACGGCTTATTGATGATTAGATTTTTAATTCTTTTTAAGCTCAAAAAATGATGATCTTATTATACACGAATAAATATGGTAGTTGATGATTTTTGGACCACATTTTTCCATCAAAGCAGAACATTTTTTCTTCTTTTAACTATATGAATAAACAGAGAAACATTCATAAAACTCTGCATTTTTATTAAAACAAACTACTAGATTTTATTAATATTTATTAGCAATCAACGTTAAACTGTTATTTTTGCCTTGAGTAAGCCGTCCAGAATGAGCTGAGATCATATTTTAATATTTTCTGTTTGTTTTCTCACCATAAAATTAGGAAAATTACAACATTCTCCAAACTTGCTGACCTTAGCAAAAATTTCAAAATTTATTTTTCTCTGTCATTTAACCTTAAAGGGCCTGTGACATGCCTATTTCAAATACAAAAACTCAAAGTATCTTTAGACTTAAGAAAATTGGAATAGTACACATGATTTTACCCATTTTGTCACATAACTGGCCTATTTTCTTTTAAATTTGGCTCAGCCAAAGTGAAACAGGAAGTGACATCAATGGGAAACTCATTAATAAAATAAACACTCTGGTCTCTGTTTATTAAAACGAAGTTATTTAAACTTTAACTCTTCTTCATTTCTCTTTGATAGAAACTAAAAATAATGTAAAGAAACATCAGATTCTTCTCTACAATCTATGTTGTAGCAACGCTCTGTTTACATGCTGACATTCCCCTTTGACATCACTTCCTGTTTCTTCACATGCAAATATCTCAACAACTGTTCATCTCAGCAACATGAAATTTGTTTTGCAATATGTTATCAATGGTATCTTTCCAAAAATGCATTAATTTTTATTACAAAATTTTGACATCACAGGCACTTTAAATTAAACAATCCAAGTAAATACAGTGGTGTCGTTACAAGTTTAATTTGCTAATTATTCGTTAAAGTACTTGTATTTTAAATTCCTCGTATTAATTATTTGAAAGCTGTTAACTCGATATGAACTCTCCTTTAAAAAGCTGCAATTTCTTTTTGTTTCATGCTTTAAAATAAGAAAAATATACATATAAATAATGAAAACTGTATAAAAACATTACTAGATTTTATTATTATTATTATTATTATTATTATGTACTGTAATAAACTGGTTTAATTCAGTTTGATATCCAGCATACTGCGAGCTAACTGCTCTCTATTAATATAAATTTCTTCAGTGTACAGATATCTTTTTGTTTTGTTGTGCTGTTCAGTGCGCCAGGTTGCAATTCTGGGTCTGTTCCTGTCCGTGCTGTTCTCCCTCTACCTGGTTCCTCTGGGGATGTACTCGCCTTGCATCAAAGAAGCCGGAACGCTCGGACCTGCGCCGAAACTCATCGGACACAGAGGAGCTCCGATGGTGAGGCTGCAGAATCATGTTTTTCAGACTCTTTGGGGATTCAGAGCTATAAAAATGCCAAATATAATAAACAAGATTTGTCAGATTTATTAGTAAATTTTGGTAAATTCAAACCCAGTAATTTAAATTTAAAGTTCTCTATAAATAAAGTTGTGTTATATTGTAAAACGGGGTTTTTGAAAGTGGATGCATTTTATTTCTTTTTCAGCTCGCTCCAGAAAATACAGTGATGTCATTTGAAAAAGCTGTTGAAGCTGGAGGAGAAGGGCTGGAGACAGATGTCACCATCAGGTATTATAGTCTTTTATTGCTTTCTTGGCCTCTGAAAAGACCAGATTTGCAGTTTTAAATCAGCCTAACCCTCAGTAGAGGTGCTGGTGATTAAGGAGTTAATTTCACAACCTGTTTTCTTTCTGCTGGAGTCACAGTGGGATCAGTCGGTTCCTCGGCTGAGCCTGGTTTTTATTCTGATTATACAGATGAGATGTGTGTGTGCCGCTCTGTGATGCTGCCCTGCTAATCCACTTAGCTCCTAGCGCTCCTGTTAGCACACAGCTTTAGGTTCACACTGTTTAACAGCCTGAAAACACGGGGATTAGCACTCGTAGGTCAGTTTAATCTAATATCAGGTGACCCATGTGGGGTAGTCGGGTAGATGTGTGTGTTTAAGTGATGTTTGTGTGAGTTTATCACTGCGTCACCACTCGATGTTTGCATCGCTGCGTGCAGCTACGACGGCGTTCCCTTCCTGATGCACGACTCCACTCTGAGGAGGACCACCGACGTGGCCGAGGTGTTCCCCAATCGAACGCACCTGGACGCCTCCATGTTCACCTGGGCCGAGCTGCAGCAGCTGAACGCTGGGAAATGGTTCTTATTGGTGCGACTAACAAACACACAGTAATTTAATGTTCAAACACATAAACTTTATTAATTTTTTGCAAATATTCACTCATTTTGAATTTGAAGCCTTTAACAAATACATTGAAAAGGATTTGAAAAAAAATGTTGTAATATTTAGATATTTTTGACTTAAATCAAACTAATTTTCTCATAAATTTAAGATTTTTTGACTACATTTAATTGTGGATTTTCTTGTACAATGAATTATAGAGGGATCCGTTTGGTACTGCATCATCCCTCTCTGAGGTGGACCGCTCCAAGGCCCAGAACCAGTCCGTCCCTTCGCTGGCCCAGTTTCTGGAGGTTGCAGCTCGAAGCGGGAAACTGGTGCTGTTTGACCTTCGTAGGCCACCGTACGGACATCCATACAGCCAGTCGTACATCAACACCACTCTGCAGGTCGTACAGGATTACATCAACTCCTCACAGGTGCTCCTCAAATTAGATTCATGCAGAAAGTTCAGTTCATTCCTTTGACTAATTTTACGTGTTTCTACTCTCACAAAAGCCTGATTGTCGTCTTTTAATTCGTTCTGTTTGTACCCTAGGTGCTGTGGCTGCCCTCTGAGGACAGAGACCTGGTCCACGCTGCAGATCCAGAGCTGCAGCAGACATCTGGACAAAAAGCCTCCATTCAGGAGCTGATGGACGATCACATCAGCAGGCTGAATTTACACTACAGCAAGATGTCACAGCAGCAGATCAGGTACAGTCATTCATCAATTCAGTGGAATAAAGAGCGCTTGGTCACAACAGGAAGTTTGTACATTCATGTTTATTTTAGGCGCTCTGGTTTCTTCCTACAGTCCAAAATCATGACTGTTAGATTGTTTTTAAGTGAGTGTGGGTTGTTTGTCTTTTTGTGTGACTCTGTGATGGACTGACAACTTTCTCATTCAATGACTGCTGGAAATAACCGTTTATGTAACTGCTTTCATCTGCCTTAAAAAAAAACTCTCCTTTTCTATGTTCCTGGAGAAAAGTGGCATTTAACTTTGAACCTTTGTTGCCTCTGTCTCGTTACGTAACTCTTGATACGGATGACCGTAGAAAAAAACCTCTGAGAGCTGAGTTGAGGAAAGACAGGGAGCTAAAGGGCAACGAGAGGCGAAATGAATCAAAATGTTAAAAAGGAAGAGATTAGAAGAGCGGAGGAGGAAGAGAACGGCTCAGAATCTGAACAGGAGAAACAACTGTGCTCAGTCAGAAACACAAACTTTGAGAGAAAAACTTGGACTTGATTTAAAAAAAAAAAAACAACAACCTGAAAATAGTTCAGTGAGTCACACTGAGATTTGCTTTATTGATGAACTTTCTTTGGATTTTATCAGAACCTGAACTTTTCAGCTGATTCTGATGCTTCTTTATCAAAGATGTCTTGTTGAATGTGTGACTATTTAATTTGTATCAATCACAGAGGATTGGACGATATTAGCTAAAAAAATTAATCACGGTTAATTAATATTACGATTAACTCTGGAATTTTTGTCACATGACTGATTTAAATCCCTGTAGAGGGAATGATACGCCCTCTCTGTTTCAGTTTGTGTCAGACTTCAAGTTTTACACCAGTTGTGTTGATAAAACAAGTAAAACCAGAGTTATGTCAAATAACTTAAAAACTTTTTTTTTATAACTTTGGTCAATTTTGAAGCGAGTTGCAGCAAAAGACCAGCAGATTCATGGAGAAAATAACACCTCAATCCACCCTCTGGTCTCACCCCCGCCCCGCCGAACTAACATAAAACCCCCAAACTCCTTTCTGGCTGACGCCTGAAATTATTCGATAAATGCCAAAAAATCTACAGGAGGAAGAAAATAAAAAGAGGTGAAATTTAAATGAAGTTCGGTGTCGATTGAGACTCAGAGCGGGACTGGGTAATGAGATGTGAGATTTGTCATATTTAGCCTGTCTGTTTATATATATTTATTTATATTTTTTGCATTTCCCCCCCCCCCTTTTTTACTTAATTTGATTAAAAAAAATAGATTTCAAATCATTTGTGACTTTAAAATTTATGTTTCAATGGGACAAAATAAATTCAAAAGTGAAAGAGAATACTTGTTTCATTACATGCTGCATAGTGGACCGGTCTGGAAGCCGGAGGGGGCGGGGCTTATAGCGTCTTAAAGGGAACAGTAGCAAAACCAGCTGCTTTGAGACACACAGCAGGAAAGTGGTAAAGTTAGAATGAGGAGGAATTCAGACCAAAGCTTTGTAGCTCCACTTTATAAAGACCCCAACAGAAGGATTTAAATGTGAAAAGGAAGAATTTAAAAGTATAAAATGTCTACTTTAAAGCTGCTTTTGTCTCCCATCCCTCCTCTCTGCTGCAGTAAATACGAGTCGGTGAACATCACCACTAACCTGTACGTGATCAGCCAGCCGTGGCTTTATACTCTGGCCTGGTGCGCCGGAGCTCAGTCTGTCACCACCAACTCAATCCACATTCTGTCCAACATCAACAAACCTCTCTTCCTCATGGTGAGCTGACTCAAATCACTTTATCCTTTATAGAATATATTTTATATTATTTTCTCAAGGAAACGTAAACCAGCGGCAAAATCTGGTGTCCTTTAATAACAGGAGTTAACTTTCCTGTTGAAAACAAAAACCACTCGTACTCCGATGATTATGTAAGGCTTTGAATGTTCCAGAACAAACACTTTAATTTACATGTTAGACGGTTTCTCTCTGCCGTGACTCTGAGTGGGAGAGTGGCTCGTTCTGAATCAGGCTCTTAACGCTTTCAACAGGTGATGTGGGCGTTTGAAAATTATACCTTTCGCTTACATAACAGTCTGTCTGCACAGAAGTGACGCTAATTAATAAGTGGAACATACCGGTGTCTGTTAGCGCTTTGATTAAACGAGTCTGATCGTTTGTTTTGTGTTTTTTTTTAAAGAATCAACACTTTGTTTTTGTTTTTCCCCAGACTCCGGAGGAATACAGCTTAATGTGGATCGTCACTGATTTTGCGTCTGCCTTCCTCATCTTTGCGATTTTCATCTTCCACTGGTAAGACACGCTTTATTGGGATTTTAGTTTAAACGTTGATGAAGTTCGATTAGCGTGAAGTTGGAAGATGTTTGTTTGATCTTCACAGCCTCCTTTTATCTGTTTTCTGTTCTGGTTACATCAAAGCTGCTTCATTGCCTCGTTTGTAGAACACAGAAACAAACTGGTCGTGTTCTGCTTGTCTGATCTGTGTGTGTGCGTGCGTGCGTGCGTGTGTGTGTGCGTGCGTGCGTGTGTGTGTGTGTGTGTGTGTGTGTCAGGTGGAGAGAGAGAGGCCTCCCCTTCTGGTCCGGCAGCAGTCAGACTCAGGAGAACGGACCGTACAGTAAATTCAGGACAGGTATGAAAACATTTCTTTGTCATTTTCTGTTTGTCAGTCGTTTCGTTTGCACGCTGTGATCCCCCCGCTTTGTGTCGTGTCGTGTTCTGCCGTGTGCGTCAGACTCTTCGGAGGTCGTCTGTGTTCGCTGGAACCCTCTGCACGCTGACCCCCCCGCTGTGACAAACATCTCCCCGTCGTCGGTGTTCAGCCCATGACTCCCTGCATGCCGTGTCCCCGCCCCCCGCTTCAGGAGCGTTCTGCGCCGCCGCCTCTTTATTCCCTCTGAGTTCTGACCCACGTCTTCCTCCGTTCGCAGAGATGAGCGACGTGTGGTCCATCTCCAGCGTCGGCGTCCGGCCCGACCTCCGCAGTGCCCCTGGTTCACCCAGCACCCCTCACCTGCCCACCATCACAGAGGAGTGATGGAGGGGGCCGGATCACAGGCAAGAAAACGGCGTAAAATTTCAGATTTGATCTTAAATAAGTAGAAAAGTGGAGGGAGGACAACGTAGACGGCCATTTTTGGGGACATAGAGACAAAAAGACTCGATTCACCTGCTGATCTGACGACACAGAAAGACCCGCCCACCGTCCATCCCACCAGCTGAGCTCAACGACTCGACGTCTGCTGTACCGACCCAACATCCTGAATACCAAATGATATCCGGATCTATATATTTTACGCACAAACTATAGTTTTTACTGTCAGACGTATCGGGTTCAACCACATCTTAAAGGAGACCTGTTTTATTTTCTAAAGAACGGACCGACCTCTGGGCTTTTATTTTTTTAATTTCAGAACGAAGTTTGCTTTATTTTTTTTTCACAACATGACCTCAAATCTGATGTGTGTGTGAGGATTGTAACGAGCCGAGCTAACGCATGTTGCCGCAGTTTTAGTTTTCAGATCATCTTTAGAGTCCGGTGCTTTTAACGTCGAGCAGAAGAAACGACTGATGTTAAGCTGAGGGCACAAAGAGGGGTTTTTATGATTTGTCTGGAAGCGAGGGTCTCCTTTAACCTGTTCTCTGTGTTTGTGCGACAGAACGAATGTAAACCTGAGACTTGAGAGGAGTTTGTGTTTCTGTTTCGTCCTAAACTGAATGTATCTGTGAGAAAAGCCATGCTGCTCAGGAGCACCGGGGTCGTTTCAGGACGGGCGGGAGTTGTTTTTGTTTTTACTGGAAAATTGTGCCAATTAAAAAAAAACCAAGCTGCTCTGAGATTCCTAAGAAAAAGAAACTGAAAACATTAATCAGGAGCTGTCTCTATTTTTAACGTAAAGCTGATTAGTGCCAGATTTCTGTGCCATGTTGGAGAAGTAGAAGTGCCATTTAAAAACGAAAAATATCCATAAAATCTGTATAACGAGAAGTCTGGTTGGGAAATATTCATCTGCTGTCAGAAGTTTCTGTAATTTTTTTTTAAATCTACAAAACCTAGAAATTAGATGAATAATCTCTTAGCAAACGCAACCTAGCTAACGTTCCGTACCGTGGTTTGATCGTGGTTAGCACTTAGCTGTAAAATATTTGTGTTAAGAATAGCTGATCTTTTAGGCTAAGCATCGAAGCTACAGCTCTGCTCAGCTGTATTTATTCTATTGAATATGATTGTTTTTTTTTTCACCGTGCGACCGTTCGTTTTTAGCGAGCGAGTCTGGTGTGTGTTTCTTTTTCCCCTCTGCGCAGAGATGCTTTGCATTTTGAGCCTGGCATGTGTTGGATTTGTTGCGCCGGTTATTTTGCTGACACGGACAAATTTGAATGAATTTTCTTCTCACAATGAAATAAACATTCGTCTCAAATAACAGCAGGGAGGTGGAGAGCGCAGGCTTTATTTTCTTCATTGGAAACTCAGCCCTGCGGACCTCCAGACAAAGAGTTAGTTTTTTTTTTTTTAAAGATTTAAAGTTTCTCCATGCAAGTGACCTTTGCACGCTGATCTGCATGTTATTTTATTAAAACAAGCAAACGCTGGATATTTTTTTAAAGAGAAAAAACCAGAAGGTAACAGATGTTTATGAACGTGTCTGACAGCAGGTTGTTGTTTACTCTCAGCTGCCTTCAGTCAGTCCAGTTTATCAGAATTATTCCACGTATAAAATCATTTTCATGGTTTGGACCAACTCTAAACGTTTATCTTGATTTTATTTTTTTGACATTCCAACAAAAACTCTTATTCAGCACTTATTGGACCCTCTGCACCTTTTTTATTTTACCTTGTGCCATTTTTTTTCAATTGTCCAGTTGCAGTTTTATTAATTGAGTTAATTAGAACAACTTTTTGGACCTGGGGACCCCTTACAAGGGTGAGACCCTCTCATAAACCCCATTTACTGTCATTTTAACCTCTAAAAACCATGGGAATATTGTTTTTGTTTGGTTTAGTATGTTTGTTTTACTACTGCATTGTTCCTCAAATGCATTTTTAAAAGAAAAAACAAATTAACAATTTATTACATTTTTTGACGAACTCCAAGAGATGGCTTATGGACCCCTGGAGGTCCTGGGACCCCAGTTTGAAAACCTCTGAATAAGAAACCTTTCTAAATAAAAAAATTGTGAGTCGACTTTTACTTTAAGACTTTCTCGTCCCAAATTTCCCAACAATTCACTGTAATTTGATCCATTTTTACAGAATTACTTTGAAGTTTTGGGTCATGAATTATTGTTATTTTTTAATCCAACATCTGGGTTAGAAAAAGAGTCTTGGTTCTGGAATAACGAGCTGGAAACAAGTTGTATAATATTATATATAATTATATATATATTCTCTTCATTCAGATCTCTGTGGAGATTTTTTTCTTTGTTTTACCAAAATGACAATTTTAATTTTACAAATAATGTTTTTTTTTTTTTTTTACTGTTTATTTTCTGATTTTAAAGGCTCCTGTCATCTGGTAATAAACTATTGCAGAAACAATTTGTCTATGTTTTTTTCTCTCTTTATTTTAATGTCATATTTACAATAAAATAATGTTTGTGGTTTGTTTACATCGACCGAATGAAAGAAAAGTTACAATTTAAAAACAATAAGTGCTAAATATATTTAATGTCGCACAAATCACGAGTTTTATTTAATGTTTTGTACAAACACAAGACAAAAAAAGCTGAATTACACTTTAAAAAGATGAAAACAAAGTTAACTTTTATCAGACGAACACATCAAACAGAACCTGTTGGCACCAAACTGTTTTTATTCGAACATATAAAACTTTAGGTTCATGAAAAAAAGTTTCAGACTGAGAGGACAGAATTAAAGAAAATGAAGGTTCCTGAAAATTTTGTGTCAAATTAAAAATTACAAAATATTTATTTTTTTTATATAAATCCTGTAGTTTTAAAATAATGTTTGTCAGGAATTCCTTCTCTGAGGATTTAACCCTGCAGCAGGGACAACCTGTGGGTCGATTATAATTTTATAAAAAGAACTGATTTATAAATTTGAGAAGTTTTCTGTAAATTATTTTAACTTGGTAAAACATTCAGAGACAAAAACAAAGAAAAGCCGAACTTTTAGGTGTCGGTAAACGAGACCAGACCCTGGTCCACCTCAGCTTCCCTTCAGGTTCTGAACCGCCTCACCAGGAAGTCATTTTGTTGATTTAAAATAAAAGTTACACAATAAAACATTTAAATACATCTAAAACCCAAAACAGCAGCTGCTTCTCAAAGGATTCTGGGTAATAAATAGATTAAATAGAAGATGTGGATTAAAAAGGTTAATATGAAGTAAAATCTTTAAATCAGACATAAGTTAATAAAATTAAACCAAGTTTTTGGAAAAAGGTTCAGATTCTTTTAAGAGGTTTTTTTTTTCAATCCACTTATAAAAGTGCAGCAAAGAAAAACTTGAATTTCTGTACGAATGAAAGTAAAACGTCCTGATTTTATGCAAAAGAAGCAGGAAAAGATGGTTTAGTGTGAGCCATCACATCAGTTCTGTTTCAGATTTCTGCGTTTGAAGCTACATTTTGACACCTGGATCCTATTTTTAGGTTATTCTAATGAGGAATATTCTGTCATTTATATTCAATGTCATTTAAAGAAGAAACCTCAAAAATACTTGAATATTAGGTTTTACCAGCTGGGAAGAAAAAAAAAACGGCTAGCTCGCAGGGAAAATGACAAAAACGTTTTGTAGCTACGTCTCAAAAACAGGCTTAAACAATTAATTATTTTCTTGTAGAAAAGGAATTTGTTCATTATATTTTTGACAAAATGCAATTAATCCTCAGTTCAGTGTGATGGGTCATATATTCTTTAGTCTTCATTAGAAATATGACAACAAAATCAAAGTCTTATTAAATATTTATTCTGGGTTAAAAAGCTTCTAAAGTGAGTCTGAAGTTATTTATTCAGTCTGTTCCAACAGGTTGAAGTTTCTGCACGCTTCATTAAATGAAAGAGTTTGTATTATATCATTATTCATCCTAACAACATCAGCTGGTTTAATATAAAAACTTTTTATAAAGAGCTGATCTAATCCAAGCTCTGGTATCAACAGTCCAGATGTTAGAAGCTGCAGCAGAACCGTGACGGACAGCTGGGAGGGGTCAGAGGTAGTCATCCTCACTGGACAGCTCGTCTTCCTCGTAGCTGTAAAGGTGACGGCTGCTGGGACCCTCGCCGGGGTCGTCCTCGCCGCCGCCCGCAGACGAGCTCGCCCCGGTGAGGCTGGACCCGGCCGAGCTGCCGGAGGGGCTGCGGCTCATCCTCCACAGCTGGTGGGAGAAGCTCCGCCCCCAGCTGCAGTGCTGACCGACGGGACGCAGGAGGCGGATGAGCTCGACGGCCTCCTGCCAGTAAGACGTTCACTTGCCCTGGCCCCGCCCACTCCGCTGCTTGTTCATGCTGGTCAGCATCTGACTGATGTAGGAGGTCAGGAGGTCGTCCATCTTGTAGCCCTGCAGGTACACACACACACACACACACACACACACACACACACACACACACACACACACAAACACACAATCTACTACCTGCAAAATCATGAAGAACAGGCCGTTTAAATCAATCGAGGGCTTTGTTTACATTGAGTGCAGACCCACTTTTCAGTTCTGTAAAACTACTGCTACAGTTTGATTTAAAAATACTTTCAGATTTGATGAAAATATAAAAAACTGAGCAGAAATCATAGAGTTCATACCGTCTCCTGGATTTTACTGATTTGTCTTTGTTGATTAAATCTTATTTTATGAATGCGAAAATTCTAGAATTATTAATTAAACGTGAGTTTGTGTGAGAAGATTTAACGAGTTTCTGACTCACCAGCGAGGTTTCACACAGCAGTTTGCTTCCTTTCACCAGGTTGCCGATGGTGATGTGGAAGTAGGTGTTCCCGCTGCTCCAGTTGGAGATCTTAGTGAAGGGGTGGGTGATCAAGATGTCCTGAAATAAATAAAAAATAAACTTTTATTAAACAGAGGCTCTGAGCTGCACCTGCAGACAGCTTAACGAGCGCAGCCTCTCCTCTGAAACAAACCTTAGTCTTCGGGTCGATGAGGCTGACTCCGTGTTTGTTGATGGCGATCAGGAGGATCTCTGGGTAGTTGGGTTCTGTGGTTTGCTTAAAAAATAAAAACCTGACAGTAAAACTTCGATTCTCTTCAGTGAGTAAAATAAAATAAAATAAAGATTTGGATTTTCTGTTGTTTTTTTTTAACATTTTGCAATTTGTTGTAAATTAGCAAAAAAGGGCAGAAATTTGCAGAAAAGTAGCTGAAAAACCTGAATCTAGCACAAAAAGCAGAAAGGGCATGTTTACTGAATTAAGTGATAATGAGCTGAAATTATCACAAAAAGGTGAATTTAGCTGAAAAAGCTAAAATGAGCTAAAATAGATTTAAAAATTGCTTAAACTGCAAAAACCAGCTGAAATAGGCATAAAAAGCTTAAATTAGCAGAATAAAGCTGATACAAGTAAAAAAAAGTTTAAATATAATAGCCGAAAAGAGTAGAATAATGGCTGAAAAAGCTAAAATTAGCCAAAATTGATAAAGTAGCGTAAATTGAAAAAAACCAGTTGAAATAAAACACTTAAATCTGCAGAAAGAAGCTGATAGAAGTAGAAAAAGGTTAAAACAAACAGAGTAGCTGAAAAGAGTAGGAGAATTGCTGAAAAAGCTAAACTTCGCAAAAAAAGAAGCTGAAATTAGAACACAAAAGTTAAAGCAGATCAAAAATTGAAATGCAAGTAAAAGTTTATAAACATTTTAAATTGTTTTATGGATGTTGAATGGAGCTCCATTTATTTTAAATTTTTTTATATGGCTGAAAACGCTAAATAAGTCAAAAAGTCAAAATTGCTGAAAAATGAAACATAGTGAAAACGTCCTGAAGGAGCTGAACGTTTTGATGTATAAAAGTTTGAAATAGCACAAAAAATTGCTGAACGAAATATATGCCAAAAAAATACATAAATAAAAACTTCTGGAAGAAAAATGTCTGATCATTTTAAACCCAGAGAGAGCTGCCGACAGGTCTGTTTACCTTAACCTCAAAGAAGGCGGAGCCAAAGGTTGGCCATTTGTAGATGATCTTCAGGAACAAGAGTTTGGCCTCTTCTCGTGATTTACCGGGATGTTTATTGAAGTACGCAATTACAGACTGTAAATAAATAAATTATTGAAGTTAATTCAGTTTTTCTGCCACAGTTTTTAATAATTTCAATAAAAATCATCTGTTCTGATCATATTTACTCTTTTCCAGTCGTCCGGCGACATCTGACGGATCAGGTCCTGGGGAACCAGCTCCCGAAGCATCTTGGGAATTGTAGGAAAGTGGGATTTGTCGTCCTCAAACTTGACGCGATAGATGAGCGCTCCGAGCTGGAAGACCTCCTCTCTGGAACATTTATGGTAGCCACGCAGATATTTAGGAAGCTCCTGGAAATAAAAGGAGGAAACAGCTGGGAGTTAGAAACAATCTGAAATAATATTTTAAAAGTAAAGTTCCTCTGACCTGGTAGTAGTGAAAAATGGAGTCTGCAAACGAATCCTTCCCTGGAACTGTGCTGGTCCACAGCTTCTTCATGAAGAACACCTGATATGTCAGAGAGGGGATGATTCCTGCAGGTTTGAAGAAAAACAGCCTCTAAAACTGAGGAAAAAACTTATTTTCTCCATGTTTTATCATTTAAAGAAACCAACCGTCTTTAGCCGGTCGAGATTTTTTAATCCAGTCGGTCAGATGTCGGACAAAGTCGAAGAAGAAGTCTCCTTCAGGCACACTGATGACCTGCAGACAACAAACAGTAAACAACAACAACAACAACAACAACCTGTGAACCTCTGACCTCTGACCTTGTCGGAGATCTTCACGAAGAGGCTGAAGCCTTCAGGAGATTTCAGCAGCAGTCTGGTGGAGATGTTCAGACAGAAGTCCTTGGCCTTGGTGCTGGACTCCACCTCGAACGCCTGCGGGATCAACCAGAAAACAGAACCTTTCAAAATAAAACGTCCAACCTTTTTATTTACTGCTGAGTGAAGAACTGTCGGACCTCGTCTGTGTCGTCGGGGAAGTAGACCTTGTGGAAGATCTGGGTGGTTTTGTGTTGGATGGCCTCCACCTCCACCAGATGAGGAGGATACTTCCTGGATCCGTTTCTGATTTTAGACCAAAAACAAAATAAAAATTAATGAGAAGTTAGAATATAAATCAATAAAATGAAGAAAGGAAATAATCTTTATTCTGTTGATAATCAAACCAACACTGTCCCTCCTCTGGACACGTCCAAACCATGGTTTTGTTCTCCAACAGATTTTAGGACACCAGCAGGGTTAAGGGTGGGTTTTAGGACACCATCAGGGTTCAGGGTGGGTTTTAGGACATTAGTCAGGATTCAGAGTGGGTTTTAGGACACCATCAGGGTTCAGGGTGGGTTTTGGGACATTAGTCAGGATTCAGAGTGGGTTTTAGGACACCAGCAGGGTTCAGGGTGGGTTTTAGGACATTAGTCAGGATTCAGAGTGGGTTTTAGGACACCAGCAGGGTTCAGGGTGGGTTTTAGGACACCAGCAGGGTTCAGGGTGGGTTTTAGGATATTAGTCAGGGTTCAGGGTGGGTTTTAGGACATTAGTCAGGGTTCAGGATGGGTTTTAGGGCACCAGCAGGGTTCAGGGTGGGTTTTAGGACATTAGTCAGGGTTCAGGGTGGTTTTTAGGACACCAGCAGGGTTCAGGATGGGTTTTAGGACACCAGCAGGGTTCAGGATGGGTTTTAGGACACCAGCAGGGTTCAGGATGGGTTTTAGGACACCAGCAGGGTTCAGGGTTGGTTTTAGGACATTAGTCAGGCTTCAGGGTGGGTTTTAAGACACCAGCAGGGTTCAGGGTGGGTTTTAGGACATTAGTCAGGGTTCAGAGTGGGTTTTAGGACACCAGCAGGGTTCAGGGTGGTTTTTAGGACACCAGCAGGGTTCAGGGTGGTTTTTAGGACACCAGCAGGGTTCAGGGTGGGTTTTAGGACATTAGTCAGGGTTCAGAGTGGGTTTTAGGACACCAGCAGGGTTCAGGGTTGGTTTTAGGACACCAGCAGGGTTCAGGGTGGGTTTTAGGACACCAGCAGGGTTCAGGGTGGACTTCAGAAGGTCTTACCGCAGAGCTTTGTGCAGTCTCTGCATGCAGTCTGCAGAGAGCGGGTGGTGCTTCTTGGACTGGAGGAAACGCTGGATGTGGGGCAGCAGGACGTTGCTGGGAGGAAAAAGACCGGTGCACAACCACAGCAGCTCCCAGCCTTTCTCCTCGCTGTACCTGCAGCAGAACACAGCTTAGGTTCAGGTTCAGGTTCAGGTTCTGACCACGGGTACATGCTCCTTCATGTCGGCGTGAGCTCACACACTTGACGTGGTTGTCGGTGAGCTGTTTGATGATCTGACAGAAGATCTCGTCTTTCAGGGGCTCGGCCTTCAGGGCTCCTTCAAAGATCTGGTCCGTCAGCTCGTTGACGGAGCGCGTCCGTCTGGACGGGTAGTCGCCCATGTACTTCATCATAGGTGGGCTCAGTGTCAAGGGACCAAACAACCTCGTCTACCCGTCGACACAAATATCTAACCTGAGTCCCAAAACAGCATTTCCCCATTTTCTATTTCTTTTAACTTCAATTAACCTAAGATCTGTCAGATCTGGGCTAATCAGTCATCATGTTCAGAGGAAACCCGGCAATGTGGCTCCAAACACGTTTAAAGGATATCGATGAAGGCCATGCAGGCCTCCTGAGCCAGGTCCTCGTGGTTGACCACCTTCTTCAGCAGCGGCAGCTTCAGCGGCTCTCTGGTGCAGCTCCACAGCTTGTCCTTCCCTCGGTTCTTCGTGACCATCACTCTGCTCAGAGTGTGTTTGGGAGGAGGTCTGAAATAAATGTATAAAATGATAAAACAAGCGATGTTTTATCTGTTTGAGACGTTTGGGTGAAGTTTTCAAACAATCTGACCTTTGATCTTCATACCTGAGTAAAGTTTTCAGGAGCGTTCACCTTAAAGTTTACATGAAACAGGTGTAATCTTTGTTCATCACCTGAAGTAGTCGTAGGAGAACTCCTCCAGAGTGTACGGTTTCAGTCGATCCTCCGTCTCCGGCAGGATGATCTGAGAGACTCGAGCTGATTCCTGTCGCTGGTCTGGTGTCATGGTAACCATCGCCTGATTGGTTGGATTATATCAGATAACATCTTTTGTTTGTTTTATGAAGCGGTGTCAAACAAAAGCAACAAATCCCATCTCTGGTGATCTCACTCTAATCCACTGAAAGTTATTTACAGCAACACTAAGTGTTTTTATTTTCCAACGTACCACTATCTCTTGCTGAGGTCGGGTCACGGAGGGCAGGACGTAAACGCAGTCGGCTGGGAAATCTCCTCTCTGATTGGTTCGTTCATTAATCCCATGAGCCCAGCCTGAGTTCAGAACCTGCTCTCCTAGGTCCTGGTCCAGCATGATCAGGTCTCCCTTCAGGAAGCTCAGGAAGGTGGACCCCTCAGCAGCTGTGGAAACACAGATGTCTGATCAGTGTTAATAATAAAAACAACAATAAAAGCATCAGATTTACTGCTTTTAACTGTACATTTATACTCTACATACATATTTTTGGCTTTTTTGGATTTGGCCCCTAGGTTTTAGCGTCTTTAGGCTTTAGCTTTTTGGCTTTTTTTTTTTTTGTCTTTGTCTTTTGGCTCTGGCTTTTTGGCTAACATAATATTTTGGCTTCTCCTTTTGGCATTTTTTCTTTTCCTTTTTTTCTTTTATTTTTTATGCTTTGGTTTGTTTAGACTTTGGCTTCTTTTTGACTGTTTGGCTTTTTCTTTGTCATTTGGTCTTTTTTAGCTTTGACTTTTGGTCTTGGCTCTGGCTTTATGGCAAACAAACATTTTGGCTTTGGCTTTTTACATTTATTTTTATTTTATTTTTGGCTTTTGGTCTAACCCAGGGCTATTCAACTGGTGGCCTGCGGGCTGGAGTGACCAAAGTTCGGCCTGCCAATTGGTTCATTCATCTACTAAGTCCAAACCCCTGGCTTTCTACTTTAATTACTCAAAGTTCTTTTAGTTCAACATACGTAGACATGTGGTATCCACAGAAACATCAGAATCTTGGCTGGAAGCTGGTAAAAAAAACATTTCTTTGATCATCCAAGACAATTAAAATTAAAAGCAGTCAAAGATAAAACTATGAAAGTGAAAATTAAATTGGTTTAAAAATTTGTCAAGTCAGAGATGTTAAAATATTATTTGTGTTAAATAGGAGGCAAAATAAGTTATTTTTGTTTTTGATATTGTTTAATTATCACTACTTTTATAGTGTTCTGTATGTTGTATTTATGATTAAATGCAGCAAAATAAACTATTTTAAAGGTAACAGATCTCTGTAATACTTGGTTTATTTACATAATGACTTTAATTGCTGCATGTTCGGCCCCTCAGCTGTTGACCTGCAGTAACTGGCTCCCTGAATAACCCCTGGTCTAACCTAACTGGTCTAGTTGGTCAACACAAAAATTGAGGACCTTTATATAAACGTACAATACGTCACATGTAAACATTCTGTATTTATAGCACTAAACCCTGAGACTCAAGCAGAGTCTCTCATCTGGTTAAACTAATCCTAACAATCAAGATCAAGCAAAGATTTTAACTCTGATGTTGAGGAGCTGCAGGGTCCATCTAGTGGGTGCCACAAATATGGGATGAAAAAAATTTTTTAAATCTTTTTCAGAGTATGAGGATTTGTCTCGATACTAGATGATGAATCAGGAAATCCTCAGAATAAACTATAATCTTAAGTAAATGAATAATTACTGAGAATCCAAACTAAAACTACTACATGATGTTGAGATTAAAACTGTAAATGGGCGGGGACATCTGGGACAATCTTAATAAAATCAGAACATGGTGCGGTCTGGACTTACCAGAGTTGTCCTGCAGCGCCACCACAAACTTGGACCTCTGCCTCAGACCTTCCAGGAAGGTCACCACCAGGTCTCGGATGTCTTCTGCGTTGTTGGAGGTGAAGGTGTACTCTTCTCCTTTGATGGTGGCCAAAGTGAAGCTCTGACCCTGTAGCTTCCCTCCTCTGAAGGAAAAAAACAATCCAATAAAAGAGGTGATCTGATGCAGCAGCAGCAGCTGGGCTTCAGAGGAAAAACCTACACGGTGAGGAGAGAACAGTCACATTTCTGACCTGCTGCTGGAAACTGCAGTGATTTCTGGGAAGGAGAGCTCTAAGAGCACCTGTTCCTGCTCGTCCACAAAATAAACCCCGGTCCAGTTCACGGCAACGATCAAGTCGTTTTTAGGCAGGCTGGGACCTAAAGAGGAACCAAAAAAAAGATTGTCTTTTTGTTTCATTATTAAATCAGTAATTCAGTTAATGAGTTAATAATTCCCACCTGAGAACTTGAAGGCTTCATAGAAACGAGAGAACAGCAGAGGCCACTTGTGACGGGCGAAGTCCACAACTTCCTCCTTCACCTTCTGAGGGTCAAACCTCTTCTGAGCGTAGATACCCTGAGCAGACCAGACATATGACTTAAACCAGGGCTATTCAACTAAACTGCTCCGGGGGCCACAGTTACTGCAGGGCAAGTTCAGGGGCCGAACATCCAGCAATTAAAGTTATCATGCAAATAAACCAAGTATTACAAAGATCTGTTACCTTTGAAATAGTTTATTTTGCTGCATTTAATCATAATACAACATACAGAACCCTATGGAATAAAAGTAGTGATAATAAAACAATATCAAAAACAAAAAGAACACATTCCGCCTCATATTTAACACAAATATTTTGACATCTCTGACTTTTAAACCAATTTTATTTTCATTTTCATAGTTTTATCTTCATCTGCTTGTAGTTTTAACTGTCTTGAGTGTTTATAAAAATGTTTTTGACCAGATTCTAGCCAAGATTCTGATGTCCTGATGCATCTCAGTAATCCAGGTAAGAAAATCAAAAACAAAAAAATTGTATAGGTCTTCTGGACGGGTTCTTCTCTAATGAAACGTTTCGTCTCTCCTCCAAGAGACTTCTTCAGTCTGAGAGTTTCAGGCAAAATTCAGGCTTTTAAACCCTGCCTCCATMTGACTGATACTCACATCACATGGCTATCGTTGACACCTAATTAACACTTATTGTTAACAGGGGGTGGAGTGATACTGGCAATGGCCATGCTGTAGGAGGGGGACAATTGAAAACGGAGGCCTCCACCTCTGTTTAATGATGGACGGTCTTTCTTCACAAAAATGGCTTCTTTTACTCCTCTCTCAAACCAACGTTCCTCTCTATCAAGAATGAGAACATCCTCATCTCTGAAAGAGTGACCGCTGGCCTGTAAATGAGTGAAAACTGCAGAGTTCTGGCCATTAGATGTAGCTCGTCTGTGTTGGGACATTCTTTTGAACAGTGGCTGCTTTGTTTCCCCGATGTATAACTGGTCACAGTCCTCCTGGCACTTAACAGCATATACAACATTGCTCTGTTTGTGCCGGGGCACCGGATCTTTGGGGTGAACCAGCTTTTGCCGTAATGTGTTTTGGGGTTTGAAAGCCACTGGGACATCATGTTTAGAAAATAAACATCTCAGTTTCTCCGAAACACCCGCAACATACGATGATGACATTAGATTCTGATGTTTCTGTAGATACCAAACATGTCTATGTCTAATTTAAAGAACTTACAGTAATCAGTAAAGTCAGTAACTTATAATAACTAAAGAGGAAAACTGGGGGTTTGGGCTTAAGAGATGACGAACCAATTGGCGGGCTGAACTTTGGTCACTCAGTTGGCCGCCAGTTGAATAGCCCTACCATAAATCAAACTGAAAACATTTACTTTAACACAAAAAGATGTCTGTTATATTATCAACCTGTGATTTGATTGAAACATGTAAATACTGGTTAGTTCAAAAATTGAGCTTTTAGTGAGAAAACATCAGTTTTTGTTGAGAAAAGTCACCTTTTTGTGTGCAGCCATGATGAAATGAGCCCATTTCTCCACCGACTTGGAGGAGCTGATTTCTCTGTCGGGGATGTAGGACGGGATGAGGCTCAGCAGACGCTCCAGGAGGATCTCTGAGCCGTAGTCGACGTAATACTGCTGCGAGGCCAGCTCTGCCAGGTCGTCCTGAAGTTACAAGAACAAACAGATACACGCAGCACAAGCGTTTACTGAAATGTGAAGAATACGGAAGAAGAGAAACGCTAATTCTGATGTAGTCGTGAGAAAAAAACGTTTAGAGATCAATACAAGACAGACGTTCATCGCACATTTAGTGAGTTCTGCTCTAAGTTCTGCTCCATGCCTCCTTTTGTTCCACGATGCTCGCTTTATTTCTGAAAGCTAATGTCCGCACGGGATGAGCTGTGATTTTCTTTGTACAGGGGACGGCCTCAGTTGACAAAATAATTCTCGAGAAGCATAAAGACGGACTGGCCTGTGCGGGCATTTTGTAGAACTAGTTTACAAAGGAGTCATTTATGGAGCTGAATAGGTGCCATAAAGTTTGTAAAAAAAATTTAAACTTGAAACAAAAAATAAATGAAACTGAAAAATTAGTTAAAACTGAGAAAAAAAAGTTTAAAAGTACTTGTCAGATTCTTTTCTATTTTTTTTTAGTTTCAAACTTCTGGCTCTGTTTTGGTGTGGGGGCGGGGCCTCAGTGGACAGGGGGCATGGTATAATGACTGACAGCTTAACACATTGGTTGAACATGCTATCACATTTAGGATCCATGGGAACTGGAAATGTTTTTAAAATGTGTATTTTATGTGATTTATGTCAATATCATTTTTTTTCCAAAGTCTTGTCAGAATATTTTGTAAATATTATGTTTTGAGCTGTCAGTCATGATAACACGCCCCCCTGTCAATTGATGCCCCGCCCCCACACAAAAAAGAGCCAGAAGTTTAAAATGGTTAAAACAAAAATAAAAATCTTATAATCTGACAAGATGTTTTTAACTTTTTTTTAGTTTAAACATCTTTAGACACGTTTTTTTTTTTTTTTTTTTGTTCTTTAAATAAACTTTTTTCTCCAGGTTAGCTCCATAGACATTGGAGCAGAAAATCAATGTCCCTCTGTCACATGGGAGCACATGTCTTAGCTTCTCATGGAAAATGAATCCAGTTCACGTATAATTAAAATTTTGATGAGGATAATTTAAAATTATTCACCCGGTCACAGCGGTATTCTCCAAACTTGACGCCCCTGACGATCTGCTGATAGATGAGGTTGGTGGCCACCTGGTCTTCCTGAGGGCTGTGCCACGGCGTGAAGATTTCCTTCCTGAAGAACAGCCTCCAGGGGGCGTTCCTCTCCTGAGCCCCCTGCTCCTTGGCGTACTGCTCGCACTGCGACACGGCGTCCATCACGTGGTCGTTCCCGCTGCCTAAAGAGGACACCTGCAGAGAGGGTCACAGGTGTAAACTAAAAGTGTTTTTCTTATAGTCTTTTGGTTTTTATCATCAGGTTTTTTTTGTTTTGTGGTCAGTTATGTGGTTTTAAGACCTTTTCTAGTATAACACCTTATGGAGACCTAACTCTGGTCCTGATATAGAGCTCCATTTTTGAGTTAGTTTAAGGGTTAGGTTAGCGTTACCTTGTCAAACAGAGCAATGTAGAGTGAAAACCCGAAGCGGTCCTTCAGGTTGACCTTATCAGACAAGGCGCTGCAGAGCTCTTTAGCCGTGGTGGCCGAGTCGGTCAGCAGCGTTTTAGTCGTCCCGTCCATGAACGTCACCGGCAGCATGATGGGCTTCTTCGACTTGGTGGCCTGTTGGTTTTAGAACTTCAATAAACTTGATTTTTCAGCTGAAAACTCTGTTTATAATTAATAAAGTACAACAATGCTAAATAATGTGCACAAAGCAAAGCATTTCTCTGGTAAATGGAGCTGAGGGTGAGTTTGAACCTGCAGCTCCAGCCAGGACGGAGGTTGGGTTCTGGTCCCGTTAACAAATGTTCGTCTCAGCCTCTCCTCGCAGTACGGAGCGTAACCCGGCGGCCCACTTCTGATGAAGTTCCTCAGGTACTGCAGGAGTAAAGCAAATGTGTGTGAGTTTTATATTTAAAAAAAAAACAGTTGGCTGTGACTCGTCTGTGACCTTGAGGAATTTGTCCGACGGGGCGAAGCAGCCGACACACAGAGAGATGAGGATCCAGCCGCGAGCGTGAGAACTCTTGGACGGGTTCTGACTCAGCTGCTTACAGATCTGACAGTAGATCTCATCCCTGACACAAACACATAAAAATAAAACAGAAAACATTTCAGGCATAACTTCAAACGATGAAAATGAAATCCTAGTGAAATATTCCCACTAATATTTTATTTTATTGCTCACTGTTCTTACATTTTGATCATTTTTACTAAATGCTAAATTTAAATGTTGTGTCTGAATGTTAAATCCTAAATCTTAATGTAAAAATGAAATCTTAAATGTTGCTGCTAAACGACACTGTCAGAATGGAACACAACCTTTGCTGTTGGTGCTCGGCTTTTTTGTGACGTCATCATCCTCAGACAAAAGCAAACACTATCACTGCTAACGCTGCTAACACTGTTGAAGATGGTATTTAAAATCTAAATTTAAAATGTATTAATTGAAAACAATATGGATTGTACCTGTGGTCCAGCAGTTTGAAGTACAGCTCAGACTCCAGCGTTAGCAGCATGAGTGTTGTTAGCCAAATTAACAGAGTTAGCCACATTAGCAGACTTAGCTGTGTTAGCAGCATTAGCAGCATCAGCAGCGTTAGCCACATTAGCAGAGTTAGCTGTGTTAGCAGCATTAGCAGCATCAGCAGTGTTAGCCACATTAGCAGCATTAACTGCGTAAGCAGAGTTAGCCGTGTTAGCAGCATTAGCAGAGTTAACATTTGCTTTTGTCGCAGGATAATGATGTCATAACAAAAGCTGCGCACCACTGGTACAGGCTGCATTCCATTCTGAAATACTTAAATGTACTATGGGTGGCTGTGGCGGAGTGGTTAGGGGAGTCGTCCTGGAACCGGAAGGTCGCTAGTTCGATCCCTCGTCCAGCCATCTCAGTCGTGTCCTTGGGCAAGACACTTCACCCACCTTACCTACTGATGGTGGTCAGAGGGTCCGGTGGTGCTGGTGCATGGCAGACTCACTTCTGTCAGTGTGCCCCAGGGCAGCTGTGGCTACAGTGTAGTTTGCCATCATCAGTGTGTGAATGTGAGTGTGAATGAGTGGTTTGTCTGTTAGTGTAAAGCGCTTTGGGGTCCGGAGGGACTTGAAAAGCGCTCTATAAGTTCAGTACCATTTACCATATGGCCGCAATATTTACATCTAACTATTTATTTAGATTTAGGAATTATAATTTGACATAACTTTTAAAATTTAACATTTAGTAAATTTAGTACAATAAATAACAATAAAATGTTAGTGGATATGACTGCTGGATATGGACACCAGTGACCCTTGTGACCCTGAAGGGAAGAAGCAGGCATAGATAATGGATGGATGGATATTAGTGGAAATTTTTTAAATAGGATTTTACACTCAAAGTGATCTAAATAATAAAAATGTATTAGTGACATTTTATAACATTTAATTTTACGTTTGGTGCCCCAATGTGTTTACCTCAGTCCTGGCCTCAGGATGCCGTTACCGATGATGAAGTGAAGTTTCTCCAGGTTGGATGTTGGTCGATCTTCCAGCATGCTGTTGCCGTGTAGACTGTACTCCCCATCGTTCAGGCGCTTGGTGACCTGAAACGTATCGTGTGTCACACAGTTATATTTTTGTCAAAATTGTGCGACAGAGCTCTCACGCTCATTTCCCACCTCCTCTGTGATTTTGGATTTCTTCTTCAAGGTGAGCGAGACCAGTTTGTGTCGGACGCTGTTCTTCTTCTGGCTGTCGGAGCGAGGCGTCTGAGAGGAGAAGTAAAACGTAAATTAAAATAAATTTAGACACGTGGTTAGTGGGTTAATCAGACTCAGACTTTATAAAGCCTCACCGCCCCGTCCTCCTGCAGCGCCTGCAGCTCCCTATTGTACGTCTTCTTCCCCAGCGTCTCGTAGATTTTGGTCATGACGGGGATCTTCTCGCTGCCGTCGCTGATGGCCGTGTGGTATTTAGGCTCGGGCAGATCTCCCATGAACCTCAGGATGGTGATCCACACGGCCAGAGCGGCCTGAAGCGGGTCAAAAACAAACAAATTGTTTATTTTGGCTGCAGAAATCGAAGTTATTTCTTTTAAAAATTTCGTTAAATGTAACTGCCTACCAGCTGGTCTCCCTCGTCGTCGTGGAACAGCAGCGGCTGTTTGAGAGGTCTCCGGACGTACGAATGCGTGGTGGTGCCCTGGAAGTACGTGGCTGCAAACTTGGCAAACTTGTACTCTGATAAGTCCTCCTCGTCGTCATCTTCAGGAAGAGGAAGAGCCTCGTCCAGGTCCTCCTCCACCAGCTCGTGGTGAGTGTGCTCCAGATCCTGCAGAGACAGGAGATGGTCCAGATCTTTAATAAAAAGTTAGTTTATAATTTCATCTCTTTAAATCAGGACTAAATGTTCCGCTTACCTCAAAGCCAGCAGGCGCCTGACCTTCTTGACCCGGTAAAGAAGTGGTGGTCCCCAGGAAACCGAACATCTTGTCCACCATGTCCGAGTCGTTGACCGGCTCCGATCGGGCCTTCTCCATTTGCTCAACCATCTCCTTCTTCCTCCGAGCTTCTTCCTTCTCCGTCTTCTCTCGCTCTGCGTCCTCTTTAGCCAGCTTGGCCAGTCGCTCCTGAAAAATGAAAAAGTACGGACATGTTTTAGCTGTTTGAGCAGGACTGCCGGGTTTTTGAGAGTTGTGGGTTTTTTTTGACCTGGTGTTTGCGTTCTGCCTCAGCCTTGGCTTTTTTCGCTGACATCTGGTTCCTCAGTTTGGCCTCTTCAGCCAGACGCATCTTCTCAGCCTCCAGCCTCCGGCGGTACTGAGAGCGGGAAAACAAACTCATCATAAAAAAGACTAGCGRATGGATAAAGTTAACTTTTTTATTTTTATGTGTATTTTATCAGGAATGATACATCAAACACTGAAATGCAGATGTCTTGAATCTGAAACATCTGGTTAATGGTTAAAACTTTATAATGATGGAAAACCCTGAGAGACATGGACAAAAAGACAGGAGACAGGACTGGAAGTGTCAGAGCTGAAGATGTTGAGGTTTAACTTGGGAGAGACGAGGATGGACAAGATCAGGAATCATCGGAGGGACACACCAGGTTAAAGAACTGAGAGATAAAGTTAGAGAGACCAGACTGAAATGGTTTGGACATGTCCAGTGGAGGAACAGTGGGTATGTTGGTTTGGACATGTCCAGAGGAGGGACAGTGGGTATAATGGTTTGGACAAATCTGATGAAGAGACAACTGGTATATTGGTTTGGACATATCCAAAGGGGGACAATTGGTATATTGGATTGGACACATCCAAAAGGGGACAATTGGTATATTGGTTTGGACACATCCAAAAGGGGACAATTGGTATATTGGTTTGGACATATACAATGGGGGACAATTGGTAAATTGTTTTGGACACATCCAGAGGAACTATTGGTATATTGGTTTGGACAAATTCAAAGGGGGACAGTTGGTATATTGGTTTGGACACATACAGCAGGATAGTTGGTATATTGTTTGGACACATACAGTACAGAGGGACAGTGGACATATTGGTTTGGATACATACACAGGGACAGTTGGTATATTGGTTTGGGCACATACACAGGGACAGTGGACATATTGGTTTGGACACATACAGAGGGACAGTGGACATATGGGTTTGGACACATACAGAGGGACAGTGGACATATTGGTTTGGGCACATACACAGGGACAGTGGACATATTGGTTTGGGCACATACACAGGGACAGTGGACATATTGGTTTGGACACATACACAGGGACAGTTGGTATATTGGTTTGGGCACATACACAGGGACAGTGGACATATTGGTTTGGGCACATACACAGGGACAGTGGACATATTGGTAGAAGGATGTTAGAAATGTGGTTGGTAGTTGGAGTGAGGACAGAGTGGGTGTGTATAGGGCAAGGATTCTCAAACCTTTTGGGTCTGGGGACCCCTTACAATGGCAAAAACAATTCCAGGGACCCCCTCATAAACTCCATGCTGTTTTAAAAGATAATTTATTTTCGTTTTAACCCCTAAATGCTATGGGAATATATATTTTTATTTAATTTATTATGTCTATTTTATTAGTTCATTATTCTTCATGCATTTTTTAAAATAAAAACATTAACAATTTAGTGAAATTTTTGAGGACCCCTAAGATACCTCTCACAGACCCCTGGGGGTCCTGGGACCATAGTTTGAGAACCTCTGGTATAGGGAACCTCCAGTAGTAGTAATAATAGTATTAGTTTTAGTATTAATATCAGTGTTAGTACTCGTGTCCCCAGGGTTACCTCTCCCTTCAGTCTCTTGTAGAGCCGGCGGGCGATCATGCCTCTGGTGTAGGCCTGGATGGTGATCACGGCCCACAGCCGGTGCCTGAAGGCTCGACGCACCAAGAAGCCCCGGCAGCGACCCTGGAAGCCCGTGATCCGCTGACGGGCCACGTGGTACGATGCGCACAACTTCCTGGATCGAACCAGAGCCTGAAGCCGGGAGAAGCCTGCTCTCATCTTAAAGGGCAAAACAAAAAGAAGAAAAAAATTACAAACTCTTCTTGGATGTTCACTTTTAATTTTATTCATTTTCCCACTAATTTAAAGTAAAGCAGATGCTCCTCACAGCGCCGTAGTTCTTCCGACACTGATACCCTCTCCATGTCTTCTGGATCAACACAGCAGACTTTCTTATCCTCAGGAAGTTCGATCTGAAGACAGGAAACAAAACGTGGCTTCAAATTAAACAGTTCGGACAATAACAGGTGTTTGAAGAGCCTACCTGTCTTTAAAACCTCGAACCACCTTCTGGATGAGGATGACCTTGTCTGTGATGGCCTTATCTCTCTCGATCTCCAGAAGCATGTCATGGTGATCCTGCACAAACACAAACAGAAACACTTTGACTCATCAGAAGAGAATTAAAGGAGCTAATGGATTATTTGAGGATTAGCCTCAAATAAAAATAAAAATCCATCAAAGTTTCACAGTCAGCGTTAAACAAAGTCTTTAAATGAAGATAAAACGTTCCCAGAAGGCGAAACAAAATAAACCGCCAAACCTGAATCAACATCAGCGGATATTTTCATTTTACCTCAGGGGAAAGGAAGTGTGGTGTGGTGACCTTTGACCTCAGGGAGGGTTAATCTAATTCACACCCGCACAACACAAAGTCGGATAAAGTTTAAAAAACAAGGACCAACAGAAAGAGCAGGAAACCAGACTTCCTGTCCGACAGGAAATGGACAAGTTGTTGTTTTTTATACATTTATTAAACATTTGATCAATACAAAATGTATCATAACAGATTTAATTCCAGCACTAACATCATCCTAACTTCCTGTATGCTTTATTGCACCACGTGTCAAATGGCCCGCCATGGCATTTTACGTGGCCCGCAAAAGCTTCAAGGATGTAATAATGTCTTAAAATAAGCTGCTTTTAAGCCAGCATTGACCATAAACTACATTTCCCATAATGCATGTTGATTATTTTACCCACAAAATGGCAGCGTCCCACCACTAGGTGGAGCAGGACAGGATTCAAGCCGTAATTGGCAGTGTAAAATCTACATTTAACTGCTTTTACGCCGGCAACTTTTGCTGCGGTTGTACTGGGAAGTGGGAATTTTTTCCAGCTACAAGTTGTAAATTTAAACTGGAACACCCTTGGGAATTCCCTGTTGAAAAGTGGGAGCGTTCAGAATTCAAGATGGCAGCTACTCATCACAGCTGAACAGTGAGTAAAACTCTTATTTTTCCTTTTAATAGTATTTCTGTTTTATTTATTTCATATTTAGTCAGTCGTACTCGTAGTACTTTTCATTGTTTATAAGAGGACGTGTTAAAAGGCTGTTTCTATGCAGGAAATACCAGGTAGAGCTCAGTTATAGTTTCTTACCGCTGCTCAGGAACGAGACATTTCCTGTTTTGTGGAAGTTAATAACAATAATAAAGCTCATGTGGCCCTTGATGAAAATGAATTGGACTTTTCTTCTTCGAATCGCTGCAGAACCAACTTCAGTACCTTCAGGAAGATCTTGGTTTTTCCCATCTGCCAGTCGTCGTCTCTGCCGAGCACGGCCTCAGCGATCCTCTGACAGGTTCCCCTCAGGTCCTCCTGATGAAGAAGAGGAGAAGAACTGGGTCACCACAGCTGCACCCACTTTTATCATCAAGAAAATAAGATTCGTGTTGGATCAAAAGTTCATAAACTCATCAAATGTTTATCACTGGATGGACCAGACTATACAAACTTTATTTAACAGAAACAAATATGTGTTAAAAACTGTTTTCTTCTACAGCAAAGCTTCACCTGCTGCCACTTTAATAAAAAGCTCTTAAATTGAACCTGATAATGATCAACGCTCACTCTCTACCTGTTTATAAGCTGGTTTGACTCCAGGCATCAGCACTCTGTAACGATCAACAAACTCCACAAACGTGTAGCGGATGGGATATCCAGCTCGCCGGATCCGAATGGTCTCCATCATACCTGAATACCTGAGCTGCCGGACACACAGCTCCCTGTCAAACAGCTGCAGACAAACAACAATTATTCCCTAATTATCATTAAAACAAAGAGAAAAATAAAACAAAACTCTCTTTACAAACAGATGAGGGTCTCACCATGGGTTTCTTGAACTCGTTGGGTTTGATGCAGCGAACAAAGAAGGGCTGACAGACGCTCAGAGTTCTCATCAGCAGCTCCAGAGATCGTTTAAACTGGCTGCTCAGGGTGGGTGAGCGTTTCCTGGTTTCTGCCCCCTGAAATCACACAGAATGAGACTTTCTGCTCTTCCTGAGATGGAAAAACTTTTTCCTCTTTGGCTCAGCATATGAAAAATATTTTCTTGCTGACACAGCAAATTCACACTGGCTGTTCAAAGTTACGTGACCCCTAAATGTTCTCAGGCTGCAGAATATAGAAATGTTCATTTCTGCTGGAAATGAAATTTGTGTTAAAATAAGTAAAGTTGAAGAGATGAAGTCTGAGGTCAATGTTCATCATATCACATTTTACCAGTTCAGAAATTAAAAAACAAAAGTAATTAGTAAATTTTCTGCCACAGCACTAATAATCAAATAGGTAAAACCAAAGTAAATCAATAAAATTAGCTTTGATTGGACTATTAATGTTGTAGTTACTTTGTTTGTCCACTAGAGGCCAGTAAAAACCTTTTGTACTTATACGCGTTTAAAAACAGTAATCAAATAACATTTAAGTGTTGAAAATAAAAATAAATTATTTCAAATGTTTATCAACAAATAAACTATTATAAAAAAATGTGAAAATAAATACTGTTAATGTGACAACAAATATAATAAAAACACATTAGATGCTGGAAGGTTGTTCAGATCACGTAAAGTCAAGGTGATGAATTTGTAGATTTGTGTATTTTAAATCATTTTTACCTTTGCAGGTGTTGTAGCACCAGAAGCATAACCACACAAAAACTGGGAAGAAGCAGCACACAGAAAGGTTTGAAGACAGAAAACCAAGAGAAAAGACAAAAAGGATGCTCAGAAACAACTCAGCATGCAGAAGAAAACAGCTAAAGGAAAGAAAGCACCATTTGTTGGGTTGTTGTTGCTGTCTGTATTGTTCATTTTGGTCAATATGCAGAATTTGTTCTGAAAATTTAAGGTGATAGTGAATAAAACAATGTTTCAAGCATCAGCAAGTTACTCAGAGACAAATAATGTTAAAAAGTCTCAAATAATACATAAAGATTACAGCACATAAAACACACTCATCTTATTTGAAGCATTATTTTTATCACAATGTAAACTTTACAATCGGGGGAACCCCTCTTTATGTAAAGTTTACAAAGAATAGAAACTATAAACCTTACAAAGAAGAAAAATATTGTAACTTTACACAATAAGAAACACTGTATGTACGTTTATAAAGACGAGAAACCCTGTATGTAAAGTTTACAATGACGGGATACCCTGTATGTAAAGCTTAGGTAGGTAAACTTTAAACTTTACAAAGAAGGGAAATCTTGTCTGTGAACTTACAAAGCAGGAAACCCTTGCATGTAAAGTTTACAAAGTAGGGACAGCTTATATATGTAAATATTACAAAGAAGTTAAACCCTGTATATAAAGTTTACAATGTAGGTAAACCCTGCATGTAAAGTTTAGAAAGACGGGAAACTGTAAACTTTACAAAGAAGCAAAACCTTGTATGTAAAGATTACAACAGATAAACCCTGTATAAAACTTTACAGAGAAGTGAAACACATTGTAAAATTTAGAAAACCCTGTTTGTAAACTTTACAAAGAATGGAAACCATGATGCAGTTGTGCAGTAAGAGATGAACACTGTAACAAACAGGAAGGCAGAAAACATTTTGTCTTGTGAAAGAAAAGAAACATTTGTTAAATCTTGAAAATAAATCTTCCCTCTAAACCTCAGGGGCTTCATGTTTGTGTAGTAAACTGTGCGTTACCATTGCGACGTCTGCCTGGAAGATCTGTTTGATGAACTTGTTCCTGGAGGAGTGAACGAGCTGGATGATGTCTCCGTATAAAGTGTCTCGGTTTTTCTCAAGGAAACCTTCAGGAAACAAACGGACACGTTTAGTCAGAGTTTGTTTTAGAAAGAACTCCAGATCCCAACATAAAGACCCTGGGTCTGAGGCGGTCCTGACCTTTGGTTTCGTAGAAGACAACTCCTGCGAAGTGCTGAATCCCAAACTGAGTCTCGTAGTTGTTCTTCGGCGGGATGTAGTTAGTGTTTAGCTTGTGCTGAAAGTTGAGTTTGTTCAGCATCGTGGTGTCTGTGCCCTGAGGGACGAACAGAAAGTCCAGTTAGGAAGAACCTTTCAGGGACCAGAAATGAGGAGGATCCAAACAGAAAGGGGCTTTTCTTGAACCCGTGTACCTTGGGGAACTTGCTCTCCTCGTCGATGAGCGAGATGATGTTCATGGGTTTGATGGCGATCATGTCCAGGGCATCCTGGTTGTCGGTGAACTCGATGTGCTGCCAGTTGATGTTCTCCAGGTTGTACTCCTCCTGCTCCAGCTTGAAGACGTGACGGACGAAGAACTGCTGCAGGTTCTCGTTGGCGAAGTTGATGCAGAGCTGCTCAAAGCTGCAGGAAGAAAGTAAAAATAACACATCTTGATCAGACCACACACTGTAACACTTTTCACAACTTTTAGGAAGTGAAAGCAGGACATTAAATACGTGTTTTCACCTGTTAACAGCAAAGTTCTCAAAACCAAATATGTCCAGCAGTCCGATGGAGCGTCTGAGAGCTTTGGGATGTGAGGATGTAGGTTTGTAGATGGCTGCGTTGATCTTCTCCACAATCCACACAAACAAACGTCCGTAGATACCCTGAATACACAAACATTCAGTAAATTACAAGACCTACAGGTGAGTTCAAATGAAACATAGACGGTGAAGGTTTCTGTACCTTAACAAAAGCGTCTCGTACATCCAGAGCTTGCTCCATGCTGAGGGGGGTGGAGACCGTTTCTCCTCTGGTGATCAGTGTTCGGCTGGTTAAACAGTTCATCAGATCCTTACTGTCTACCTAAAACCACAAACAGCATGATCAACATCAATACCATCAACGGAACGGATGAGGTCACTTTGAAAAACTTCAGATATGGAACCACATCAGTTTCACCTGCAGTGTGTTTCCTCTTTTCAGATGTCCATAAACGAGCTTTAATGGGTTAACTGGTATTTTAAAAAAAAAAGGTGTTTGTGCACGTGTTTCACCTCGAACAGTGTAGCAGCCGTGGTGAGATGAGGGCTTCGGACAACTTCACAGGCATCCAAATTGTCGTAGGTTCGAGCTGCAAATGATAAAAACAACAAAAACAAGAAACTGGATTAATAAAAACATGACTCTGGATGAACACAAAGAACTGTAGTTTGACAGATTTTAGCAGAGAAGGTAATCCATGTAGGACAGTAATTCAGATGGAGACTTGAGATTTGCAGTTCAAAAAAACCTGTGACCTCGTTTCACCTTCATACTGAAGGTTCCCCATATGTAAGATCGCAGCCAGAAGTTTGGAAATCTCCCAGTTTTCCTTGTCTGTGAACATCAGCACCTTTAAACAAAGAAGAAACATTTATCAGAACCCAGGAGACGAAAGAGGATCCAGTCCTCAGTCACAGGTTTTACCTTCATCGCAGATCGGATGTTGGAGTATTCCTTCATGTCGTCTCGACCGTCACAAACTGTACATTTACCCTGCAGAGACGCAGGAAAGGGAAGATTATTGGCTGGGTTATGAACTCTAAGACATTTAGTTGAGACTTAAATGAACTTCATACACATACTTGAGATGTTTAGTATATTTTATAATTAATGTGCGATCATATTGTCTATATTATTGTGTGTTTAGAAGGTTTCTGAGCTATAATTCGGGCCTTTGAAATGAACGCGTTTCTTTCAGTTGGTGACCCCGACGTGATGAAACACCGGATTCAGTTTTTGTTTATTAAAACTCTTGATTAGCTCAGTTTCTGAAATTGTATCTGTTTAATTATGATCTTGTCACTTTTACTTATATTGAAATAAGAATCATGACGCCCTGACCCGAGGGGGAGGAGCTAATACTCACTATGGTCAGGTAGGTGTAGTCGGTGGCTTTGCTCAGCCCGAGCTTCTGCTTCTCCTCTGCAGTCATTCCCTTCAGCATGCAGTAAAAAATGTGATAGTTCCTCTCATCATGAGCCTACAGAGAAAAACAATTAAAACATCTTTATATCCTGCAGCATTGCTCACAGAAATATATTTATTATTTCAGGTTCTTGCTTCTGTTTTACTTTGTTTTCATCTGTATTTATTTATTTTTCCAGCCCTGGTTCTGGAGGCTCACCTGTCGACAGACTCTGGATTTCTCCAGCAGGTACTGCTCTATCTTGGCTCCTTCTATAGCGCCTCTCTTGTTGAAATGGATGTCGATGTATTTCCCAAATCGAGACGAGTTGTCGTTGCGGATCGTTTTAGCGTTGCCAAAAGCTGAAAAGAAACAGAAACCAGAGAAAATGAAGGACGATGAAAGGTAATGTGTTTATTTTCTTACAAACAGCTCGTTCGTGTTATGGTCCTACCTTCGAGTATTGGGTTGGCCTCCAGAACCTGCTGTTCGATCCAGGAGTGCTGACCACTGATGGCTGCCAGGAACTGCAGGATCAGTTTGGTGCTTTCTGTTTTTCCTGCTCCAGACTCTCCACTGACGCCAAATAAAATCAGAAGAAATTTTTTATGATTAGGTTAATAAAGCCTTATGTTGGCATGATAATTCAGCTCACCTACCTGATGATGCAGCACTGGTCCCTGTTGTTCCTCTGCATGTTGAAGTAACAGTTGTCGGCGATGGCAAAGATGTGAGGCGGCATTTCACCGATCTTCTTGTTGGTGTAGAGGCGGATCTGATCGGCGGAGTAGATGGGAAGTAGCTGGTAAGGGTTGACAGCCACCAGGATGGAGCCTGTGTACGTCTGCACACCAGAGGGAAATTTTCAATTCAGTTGGGTCAGAACTGAAGTGGAGGTAGACGATGAAGGTTTGTTGTTTTTTTTTCGTTTGTTTTATTTTTTTTGGGGGGGGGGGGGGGGGGGCGGGTGTTGAGAACTTTGGGACCATTTTGTGGTGGTAAAGTGTTGAAATGTGTGTTGAGTCAATGCAAACGGTCAGTATTTTGTTGAAGAGGCAGAGCAGGAAGGTTGTAGATGAGCTCACTCGGGTATCAGTATTCGCCACGGGAGAGCAAACAGCCATGTTGGAATAAATCAACATGCAGTCAGGCTGTTGAGCTGAATTAACAGGTGAGTGATACCTGAGCCTGTTCTGAAGCTTTTTGACTTGTTCTGATAGAACACCACAGCTCCAAATGATGGACAGGAAAACGAACATATTCTGATTTATTAAACAGTAACATACATGCAGTTTTCAGATGAATATGTCATACAACTGTTACAGTTGTTTTTTTTTTACTGAATCTGCAGTTTTCTGCAGCCATGCTTCAGATCTGAGAGCTCACTTACCCTTCCACCACAGTTTGTCTTCAGAGGAAACAGGAAAAAGAAAGAAAGACAAGTAAAGTAAAAGAGAGAAATCAGCAGAAAGCAGCACAAGCAGGAATCTGTGTGATGATTCTGAAGGATATCCTCTGCATGCCACGCCCACTTCACATACCACGCCCACTTCACATGCCACGCCCACTTCACATACCACGCCCACTTCACGACTTCGACAACTTTTTGTTTTTAATATAAATAACTACGTTTTCTGAGATATTTGAGTCTGTCTGCATTCCAGGTCGAATCCTACTACAAACCCCAACAAAAAGTAGCAGATTGTTAGCTAAAAGCTAAAGTAGCAAAGGATAGCTAATTGTATCAAATTGCAAGTAAAGAGCTGAATGTTGCAACAGATTAACTAATAGTTAAAAGTAGTTACTGTATACTAGATAAAACCTAAGTGTAGCTAAATTATAGCTAAAACCTGCATAAAACTACATAAAAGTAGCCAAATGTTACAGGCTAAAGTAGAAAGAGGCCAGCTAAACGGTTATTAAAAACAACAAAATGCTACTTGAACAAAAAAGTTAGACAAAAACTAGTACAGCAAAAGAGTTGCAGATAGACTATATAAAAGTAGCAAAAGATTAACTAAAACCTAAGGTTAGAGAAATGGAAAAATAGCCAAAAAGTACATAAAATAGCCAAAAGTTAGGTACAGGCTGAAGTAGCAAGAGGCAGCTAAAAGTTTTTTTTTTTTGTTAAAAACAGCAAAAATCTACTTGAAACAAAAAGTTAGCTAAAAGCTAAAGTAGCAAAAAAGGTAGCTTATAGTTAAAAGTAGCAAAAAGCCAGCTAATCACATTAAGCGGCTAGCAAAGAGCTAAATGTAGCAAAAATTTGACTAAAAGTTAAAAGTAGCGTAAGACAAAGAGTAAAGCAAAAAGTGAAAGTAAACCAATAAGTGTAAAAGATAGCTAAAACATGAGAGTAGCCAAATGGTAGATAAAAGTAGTAAAAAGCTACATTAAATTACCAAAATGTTAGCCACAGGCTAAAGTAGCAAAAAGACTAGGTAAAAGTTGCCAAATGGTTGCTAAAAGTAGCATAAAGCTGCGTGAAATAAAGAAAGTTAGATAAAATGTTAAAGTAGCAAAAGATTAGAAGCTAAAAGTTTTGATAAAAGCTGCTACAAGATGATAAATATTCATTTTGTTAAATAAATGCATTTCAGATAAAATATATCAAAAACAGAATGACATGAAAATACAATATATGATTTAACAAATAACTTTATAACTTTATAAATATAACAGTATTTTCAGATAAATGGCATTACAGTGAAACTACTTTAAAGGTTTTAAAGTTTTTGATAACCAGTTGTAAATGTAGACACATAGTAAAACTCACATAAATGAGTTTCTCTCTGTATCTGATGAGCAGGTTGCGGAGGATTCCGGCCTCGTTGAGGTCTCCCAGCCGGATCATGTCCTCCACGCCGTGGATGGAGGTGGGATGCATCGGCTTGATGTTGGTGGCGTTCTGCGGGGAGATCCAGTGCTCCTGGAGGGGAAGGTATTTATTGTCATGAGTCATTACAAAAAAACAGCACGTTTCAGAGGGGCACTCTGTGGGGCGGGGGCTCGGTTGCAGACTGAGCTTCAGGGTGGAGCTTTGTGTAAATGGGCGGAGTTTTGTGTCAGCAAACATTTAGGTAGCTCCACGTGGCCACGGGAGATTCCAGGATTTCTCAAACATTCATGAATGAGTCAAAGCAACAATCTGGGTATGTTTTTGATGAGAGAGTGACTTTATAACACGATATAATATCAAAATGTTGATTTTTCACCCCCCTCCCCCTTTAAAATACAAATTACTTATGAACAAACAAGAGAAATTTAATAACGTTTTGAATAAAAATATTAAAAACTCACGTTTCCTTCATCGTCCACCACCTGAATTTGTCCCGAGTCACAAAGTTTGACCACGGCGCCGATCGGGACCTCAAACTCCCGCCCGGTCTTCAGGTCCAACCAGACGTAGTCGCCCTGCAAATTAAAACACAACCAAGATGGATTTTAGTTTTAAAAGACTTTTTGATGGAGGTAGGAGAAGTACCACCCAGGTCACCCCTCCGGTTCCGCCCCTGTCATGAACCAGGACCCAGACCCTGATCCTCTGAGCCTTCGATCACCATTAGGAGTTCTGGTCTGTAGAAGCTCAGTGAAAACTTATCAAAATAAAAGCGCAGCGTACCGGCAGCAGGGTGCTGTGCTTCATCACTGTGTTGACATTTCGAACCAGCGCCCATTTGGCCTGATCCTTCTCGTAGAGTTCCACGTAATCTCGACGCTTGAACATCTTCACGTGCACGACGCAAACCAAGGAAACGTGCTCAGAAACCCTTGTAGACACAGATCTACAGGTGATGATGTTTGGTTTCAGATTCTTCGTTACACAAACAGAAAACTGTAAAGTCAGAGAAAGTCAAAGTTTCTGCTTCATCAGCTTTGTTTGTTTTCCCTGAGTTCATTAAAAAAAGAAGAAATTCCTTTTAAAGATGATAAATATGCATAAAAACCCTTCAGGTTCTACAGATTTTAGGGGTTAGATAGATTTCAATTGTCTTAACATTTCTTGTTTCCCTCTAAAAACCTATTCCATTTAAAAAATCTAAATAAAATACAGCTTCAAAACAAGTCCCAGGTCTGCTGGTTCAGTTCTTCGGTCATCCAGGACCCAGAGGTCCCAAAGAAAACCCAAAATCCTCTTTGCTTCTTGAAGATCTTCAGCTTCCTGCTGCTGAAGATTTCTCATCTCAAACCTTTCAGACGTCCTCAAAGTTTCCACTACAGAAACATTTTGGGGCAGATCTCGTTCTCCCTCCCTCCCCACAACAACCTCCCCTGTCACTAATGGCAACCAGGTGTCACTTCCTCCTCAGGTGTGTCTGGTGTTGGGTTACCGCTCGGTGAAACCCACTACAGGTTCTCTATAAATACTGCAGGATGGATCAGCAGGGTAAAAAGTTCTTTATTACTAAAAGTATTTATAATAAAACAAGAAGGTTTCTCTGCGTCGCTTCATGCCACGCCCACTCTCACCTGCACTCAGGTGTCAATCATCATATAATTCTGTCAGCAGAGCATTGATGCTTCTTACGCCACACCTCCTGGTTTCCTCATGCTTCCTAGAGCTTTTAAAGTTTTGCAGCCATGACAGCGTTTATGTTCTGTTTTATGATGAAGACAATTTTTGTTTTTGAGCTCCTCCAGTCTGAAAACCTCCGTTCTGTAGTGAAATAATGAAATATTAAAACTAAACAGCAAAATTAGGCACAAACTAAACTTTGTACAATAACTACAAATTTTTATTTTCCGACATGGACAAAGTCAAGTAAATCAAATTTTACAAAAACAAAAAGGTGAAAAGAAATGCTACATGTTCTGTAAAACTATTTCATTTTAAATTTTCAAGTTTTTTAAAGTCAGCAGTCGGGTTTGTAGGTTCTTAAATAAACTGATTTCCTTTTATCTATTTGTTATTGTTTGCTTTAGATATCTGTGTGTTCAAATCTGACTAAAGAACAAATCATTTTGTTTGTAAAATAAAGCCAAATCAGTTTGCCTAGAGTTGCAACCAGTAGAAGATGACTTTTATATTTTATATTTTATGGTTGAAGCTGAGAAATCTATTATAGGTCGACAGTTTATCAAACCAATGCTGAGGTTAAATTCAAAATGAAACAAGATAAATTTGCAGCTTTAAACTGAGACAGACTGTGACATCATCTACTATTCACACGTGTGCACAGAAGCTGTTCAGAAATGAGAGAGAGAGAGGGAGAGAGAGAGAGAGAGAGAGAGAGAGAGAGAGAGAGAGAGAGAGAGAGGAGTTTGTGTTACATACGACTGTTTCATTAAGTAAAAACTCTGTCTGGCAAACTGAGCTACCTGAACCTTACACCACTGAGCACCTGTTTAACACACACACACACACACACACACACACACACACACACACACACACACACACACACACACACACACACACACACGGTAACAGAGTTAGCAGGAGGGAGCAGGGTGAACAGTGATCCATCAGAAACCACGTGTTGAATTATTAAACACTGAGGATCTGTTTGTGTGTCAAATCTTTCTGTAGAAGACTTATGAACAGACAGTATCTTACCTGTTACAGATAAATCTTTTTATGACCTGAAACTTATTGATGAGCAAACAGCTGATCAGAGTTTTAATGCGAATCTTTTCTCTAACACAAGCCAGCAGTATTTTATAAACATTCACACTGTTCTCAGTTTTCTGTCAGCTGTTTGTTTAAATGATGCTTTCAGGAGGGGTTTTAGCAGCAGCAACTAGCTGTAGCACTTCCAGTGCATTTTGTGTGCAGAAATATTATAATTCCTCCAGAATAGTTATGTAACTCTGAAACGTTGCTACAAGCAGGGGCGACACCAGTAAAAACAGTGAAAATGAAGCGTTGATCAGAACCAGGAGCAGAGTTCTGTCAGCTGTGATGTCATTCAGCGCCGCTGCAGTGGATGGATGAGTTACCTGTCTCCTCAGGTAAATTATTCAGGACAGGTGTTTACTTGCAGCTGCTGAGGAAAGGTAACAAAGCAAAGATCCAGGAAGTAACCGCCTCCTCAAAACAAACATGTTCAGCTTTTAAATCCTTATCAGAGAAATCATAAACTAATAAGTTTAAAACAGAGATAAAGAAATGGATATTTACCAAAATAAAAGGTAAATAAACTCAAATACTAAAAAAGGGTAAATAATTAAATTAAAATTTAGACTTTTTTGATTTTTTTGCCAAAGATTTTGTTTTCCCTTCAAAATATTCAAAATAACACATTTAGGGATATTTTAGTGCAGAAAATCTATTTTTTATTATTTTGTTTTCGCACTTACAGTGGGGAAAATAAGTATTTAGTCAGTCACCAATTGTGCAAGTTCTCCCACTTAAAAAGATGAGAGAGGCC